AAAAAAAAAAAAAAACTAATTATACAACTTTTCCAAAACTAACTATATCAAACTAAAAAAAGCCAAACAAAACCAAACAATCTTATATCCAAGCATCTCCTAACAATGTTAGGTAGGCTCAATGATTACACAAATCAATAGTTTTTCAACAAATATTCATATTTTTAAATTGTAATGCCATTTTAAATAAAAGTATTTCATTTTATAGCATAAATGTTTATTAGTGTTAAAATATAATGAGCAGATCCGCCTAACGATTTGAACATTGTATAGCATAAGTATTTATTTTTATTAAAATATAACAATTAGTGTAAATTCCATAAAAATTGTGTTATAATAATTTCTATGTTAGAGGGACACCATCCAGAGTACTAAGACCAACTCCAACTCTGCGTTGGAGTAGAGTATTATGCCAGAGTTGGGTTAATATTGGACTCCAACGCAGCGCCATATTTTGATGCTATTTCGGATAAATATACAGTGCAACGCCAGATGTTGCGCTACACTATTCACCTAGCGCCACATTTTTTTTGGTGTTTTGTATGAATGTGTATTGAAAACATATAAAAACATTGTCCTAATTTCCGACATTATATAATACTATGAAATATATTATATTAAACAAACTAATATTGATATCTATATATATTGTTTGTATCTATATATTGTTTGTATGTTCTTTGCAAACATTATAAAAATATTTGTTAGAATATAATTTTTTGTAAATAAAATAATTGTGATATATATATATATATATATATATATATATATATTTTTGCATTGTTGTATATTATTGTATTTTGTTAAACATATAATAACAATTTTATACTTTTTATTTATTTATTGATGTATTATAATATTATTTTATAATTTTATAATATTTAAATGGTACCATATGAATAAAAATTTAACACATTCAAACAAGAGATTTCATTAAAATTAAAAGTTTACGACAATTGTAAATCATAAAATACACAAATAAAAAAAACATAATAAATCATAAAATGCACAAATTAAAATGAATAAAAGAATAATATATTTGATGTAGAGTAAAATGTAGAGATAAAGGCTGGAGATAAATGTTTCACTCTACTCTAGAATAGAGTAAAGTCTGCGTTAGAGTAGAAATAAGGACGCCTAAGAGATTACATATAGCCACAAAACAAAAGGACATTGGTTGAATCGCCCACTCCTTTGAATGCCAACCGGAAATTAGGCAGTGGGGTTAAGCCCTCCAAATTAATTTCTGCATCACTTTCGTAACATAACTTGACCTTAGTATAAGGGAATATTAAAGGAAAAAAGAAATAAAAAAATCTTGAAAGGCCAACATAAAGAGCT